GAGAGAGAGAGAGAGAGAGAGAGAGAGAGAGAGAGAGAGAGAGAGAGAGAGAAGGGGTAAGTCTACTGCTAGACCCCGCGACTAGCCTCATGCTACTTCCATCGATAGGATGACCAAAATCTAATGAATCTTCCGCTAGAACATCGATATACACACTACTACGCGCGCGTGTGTGTGTCTGTGTGTGTGTGCAAGTGTGTAACCCGCATAATAAGACATGATTACAGTATGATACGGAAACCGCATCATACTCAAGCTCTGAAATAATCTATCGGCGCACCTTAAGAATGAAAACTTGTAGGCGTGGTGCAGACACATCCGGTACTCGGAGGTGGGGAATGACTATGCCGGACTGCACGAGCAAGCTCAGGCACAAGAACTTGTAGGCGTGGTGCAGACAAAACGAATTGGAACACACACAATCAAACAAACACCACAGGACGGGGAAAGGAAACACAATAAGGCAAAAGGCAAGGAGGCAACGACAACAAACTGCAGAAAGGCACAAGGACAGGGGGCCACGGGGGAGGTGGGAGGGCAGACCATACATAACTGCACAAAACAAGGAAAGACAAAAGAAAAGTGCAAGTACACAAAGATACCCCAAGCATAAGACATCAGGCAACATCAAAGGACAATGGGTGGAAGGCACGGGGGAGGCGGGAGGGAAGACGTCACTCAAACACAGAAAGCAGGCAAAGCAAAAAAAATACAAGTCCCCAAAAACAGCGAAGACCGAAAAAAAAAAAAACAAAAATTAAAAACCGATGATGACAAGATTGTTTCGTCGGAGTTGCACCGACTCATCAGGAGGCTGAACCCTCGACAATCTGCGGAATCTCCGTAGTTGATGGTTTGGGTCATGAACCCTTTGACCCTTGTTGAAGGCAGACTGTCCAAAACGGAACACAGCAGTGAGCAGCAACCCTGTGAAGCACCAGGCAACACAGTAGAGGGAACAAGGTTGCACAACGCCAAAAGCGACTGCAAGGAATGCAGCGCGGCAGCCGTGCAGTGAAGTACAAGACAACACAAGCAAGGCAACGACGCTGCAAGGAACGACAGGGCGAGCGGACCAGCAACGCGGCAACCGTGGAGCGGAGCACAAGGCACCGACAACAAGGCAACCCAACTACATGGCACACACGCAGCAAACACGGAAGGCACGACCATGAGCAGCACGGCAGCGAAGCAGCGAAGCGCAAGGCAACACCAGCAACACAGCCACACCACACAGCGAACACAACAATTCGCAGAGAGCCGCACGCGAAGCAAGCGGGACAGGCAGCAGGGCAGCGGCGGATGCCAGACGAGGACGTCCACACATCCAACACGGAGCAAAGCAGCACATCACCTACTCACATCACGGGTGAACCCCGCAGACTGTTGGTTC